AGATTATTATAGTAATAACAGGTCATAATTCAATAAATATTACCTCGATAAAGATTATTGTAATACATTTCCCTCAAATGTTAAATATCAGGTTCAAAAAGCTTCATAGAAATAGATTTACGATGTTTTGAGTTATCAGACTCGCCATGATAGATTTGAACAATTTAAATCCCTTTTTCTGATAAATAAAAGATCCACTTTTGGTTTTTTTTTTTTTTTTTTTTTTTCGAATTTTATGTTATTTATTGTCATCGGACTCTGTTTAACGTGGAAACAAAATAATGTATGTTTTGAAAGCCAAAATATTGCTCTATACACAATGAAATTTTAAAAGTGTGTTTTGATCGAAAATAACATTTCAACGTGTTCGGATACTTTAAGCAATGTAAACAACAATTAAATCTAGAAACTTATAATAACTGTTATATAAGAGAAAACAAATCAATTTTTCGTTAATATGGATTAAAAAAAATGAAATACAGTCGAACCTCCATATTGCGAATTTTTCTATATAACGAACTTTTTCCTGGAACCTTGAACATTTCACGATTTTCTTCGTAAAATAACCTCTCTACAGCGAAGTGCATTTTCTATACAACGAATTTTTTCTTTTGTGATTCAATTTTTGTTCTCCCTTTTTTTAAGTATTTCTCTTTAACACATTTTATGGTGCTCATAAATCTTGAACTGGTTTTATTGATCCTAACTCGCCGAGAGCAATAGAGTTCTGGATGTTTCATCCAAGAAGTGCGACCTTTAACCCCCATTGCCCAGTTCACTAGAAACATCTTCGATATCCTTTTTCGCCCTCAGTGGAGTTGTACCGTGTCTCCGTGTTCTAATTATAAAATAATGCATGTTTAATATTACTTGTATGCTTTAAATCAGTGCTCCGCAACCTTTTTATCGCCGCGGACCGGTCAACGTTTGTTAATTTTACCACGGCCTGCTGCGGGGGAGTATGTTGATTGTTTATATTTTAGACTATTTTGATTTAATAATTTTAATTTAATTGTATCTAAATGTGACTTCTGAATATAATATAGCTACACGAAAAAAAGGAATATAAAGTGATTTAACAAGAAATATTAAGTGATTTTCATAAAAAGTAGCCCAAACCTAAGAAAAATATACCACAGTAAATAAAAGAGAAATAATTTAATGTTTCTTGTGTGGACGGTAGTATTTGATCCACGGACCAGGGGTTGCGGAACACTGCTTTAAATTATAAAATGTCTTTAAAATTCATTAATTTTAGTATTAAATCATTTTCTTAGTATTGAAAATACAGTGAATTCTTCGACATTCTTTTTCTTCTTTTCCTTGCAGTTTTTCTTTCTTTCTTTCTTTTTGATGGGTAAGCTATATAAAATAAATGTATATTAATTTTAAAAAAGGTGTGAATAATTCCTTTTTTTAATATATAGTGTTTATGAATTTAAAATTTGTTTTATGTGGTGTATAAAGTACATTAAAAGATGAACCTCTATATAACGAATTTTCCATATAACGAACTTTTTTCCGGGATTTAGAAACTTCATTATATTGAGGTCAGATTGTACTTTTTTCTTAGTTTCTTTGTTTTGGGAATGAGTCTTAATTCTTCTTATCCAATTCATAATTTTTAATTAATTTTTTTCATCTCTCTTTCATCTTCCGACAGCGTTAGGAGTCTGTGGTTGTGCAAGGGCTTTTAAAAGCAGATTTAATTACTGGTTCCTAGTTCCGAATGGATCAGAGGCACGACTCAGGCCAACTGCTTCGACTGCCAATAAAAAGAAATTTTTAAAAGCTTCTTATGAAATTGATGGCAACATTCTTTGTAAGAGATTACGAAATATGAACATTCAGTACAGTGTCAAAATGGGGACTAATTCTGTTGAAGGAACTTACCATAAATTACTTAAATGGAACGATTTTAGAAGAATGTTCAAGAAATTTTTCATTTTCTCTTCACTTTTAACGATGCACGCTTAATGCAGAATGTGCAAGAAGTGCAATATAGGATTATTAGGCAAAATTTAGACATTGTTTTTCTTTTATTGATGGATATTTGATTCACATTACTTTTAACAAGTAATATAAAATAAAAAAAAATCTTAAGTCAATTCCTACTTAGATCCACAAAGAAAAATTTTATTTTAGTTACTTTTTATTAAATAATTACAATTAATATAAATATATATATACATATGACAGAATCACAACATTAAGTGGCAAAATAGAAGTGATTTTCCTTGCAATTTTCCATTTTCCTTTCTATATATGGTATTGGACTACTTTTTGTTTGTTTATTACTATTTATTCGTTCATTAAATTGAATTATTCCAATAAAATAGTATAGTAAAAAAAAATCACATTCTCAGGAATTAGGCCATCTCAGGTGGGATTCGAATCCACGACCTTTGGATTAGAAGTTCAAAGCGCTATTCATTGCGCTACAGGGACACAACGAACGATTTTCCTTTTTATGTATGGCGTTGGACTATTATTTTTGCTTGTGACTACTATTTATTTATTAAATTTAATTAATGAATTAAAATTTAAAAAAACTGTATTAACATCAAGTGTCCTCCAATATAAGTTTCAAAACATATATTTGAACTTGAGTGGATGAATAAAAAGTATTTTATTAACGATTGAAAATTTGAACAAGATTTAAATATATTTTGTATGCATATATATATATATATATATATATATATATATATATATATATATATATATATATATATATATATATATATAGGGAGAGAGTGAACTAATAGTAGGAATTGAGAAAAAATTGCATTTAAAAGCTATTAAAAATAATTTGAATAATTAATTTTAATGAGAAGACCTCCTGTTTTAATTCTTAATTAAAAGATTTTGAAATATTTATTATAAATCATGTAATATTTATAAAACATTTTAATGAAGTGCATACGCAAGTTATTTTATGAGGGGGGGGTTACATTTCAAAAACAAGTAAATGAAGCGTCTAATTTTTATACTTTAAGTTAAAAATCTCATCTATAGGAGGGATTTGAACCCCCAAGTCCAACCCTTGTGTACAACTGGCAGGTGCTCATTGTTGTAAAGTATCAAGATGCAACTTCGCAATTGAAAGTATTAAGTTTAATGGCGTTGATACGTTCAAGGTATGCGTCTACGTTCGGGACCATGATTTTGAAAAAACGTATTAACGAATAATTTTTTGATATCTTGTGTCAGTTGAATTTATACATACTTATAAATTTGTTTTTAAAAGTATTTTATTGCTAGAATAAAAATTATTTAAAAGCAACATCTTGGCAAAAATGAAGTAAGAATGACATATTTTCAAAACAGTTTTTTTTTATGAACTATGCTTCGATTATAAAAAAAAATATTTTGTCTACATATAGCTAAGATTTCTCCATAGTGGCTGAACAAAAAGTTTTGCAAAATTCACAATAAAATCTGAAAAAATCGACTTCTAAATTTTATATCTCAAAAATTCTATTTCAAACGCTGAGAGTAAGTCTTGTTTATATATAGACAAAATATAACTAATATCAAAGCATTTTTCATAAAAAAGGGGAATATTTTGAAAATATGTCGTTTTTTCTACATTTTTGCCAAAAAAAAAAAGATTACATATATAGAGTTTTTTACTGTATTAAAATATTCTTAAAAAACAATTTTATATGTTTCTTCTAATTCAACTGACATTAAATTTCAAAGAAAAAAATCCTTTTAAAAATTTTACAATTACGTCTTGCATTTTATTAATTATATAAGCCTTTAATACATAAAATTAAAACAGAATTAATAGTGAATGAAAATTGTGTGGCTCAATAGTCTGTCTTCTTCGAAATGTTATTAATGAAAATTAGATAATTACAATTATTTGATAAATTTTAAGCTAATAAAAAATATCTATGTTGAGTTCTCTGAAATAATAATTCAACTACACACTTTTTAGCAAAATTCTTACCATTATTTTCTATACCCCTAGAGAGAGAGAGAGGTTCGGCCTTTTTGAAGATACACCAGGGGTCCCGAAATCTGTGGCTCTACGAGTCACGACAAGAAAATAAAGAGGAAATTACATCCGTGTATGTAAAATGGATTCAAGTTCTCATAGAAGTTTGTATACCACAAGTATCTAAAAGCTCATCTCAGTCATTATAAAACTGAAAATTCTATTTATACACAACTTTATTTTGTAATACTTTTTAGCTTTTATTGTAACACACTCATGGACAAAAAAATTAGCGCACCAAGAAAGAGTCGTCAAAAAGAAACGAAATTTTACATACGTAATGACTACCTTGATATAAGTAAATGATTAGAAAAACAAAGAAAAAGGATCATTTACAAATCAATCAATTTGCATTCTAAAGCAACTCGGAATAATTTTATGGGTCGCACTGCACAGAAGATATCTCGGAAAGAGACGTATATATACGTCCAGAAAATTAATACTTTGGATGAGCGAGACGTTTATATACGTCGGTGGCACATAAGAGGTTAAAGTCGTATTGTAGCTTTAGTGTCAAAGTAGAGTATTATTGAATTCAATACATTGTTATTATATAAAGGGGGGTGCGATGAAAATGATGATTGAATAGTGGGTCGCGTATATTGAAAGTTTGAGAAGCACTGTAGTAACGGCTTTGATGTTCCATGTGAAAATAAGGAAGAGTAAAATGCAATTAGTTCTCCGCTTATTCAGAAGCAACCAACACCGGCCAACGAAGTTACATATATATATATATATATATATATATATATATATATATATATATATATATATATATATATATATATCTTGTTCAAATTTTCAACCGTTAATAAAATACTTTTTATTCATCCATTCAAGTTCAAATACATTTTTTTAAACTTGTAGAGGATGAAACTTGATGTTAATATAGTTTTTTTCAAACATTAATTCCTTAATAAAATTAAAAAATGAATAACAAGTAACAAACAACATTAGTCTAAAACCATACATAGAAAGGAAAATCATTCATTGTGTCCCTGTAGCGCAATAAACAGCGCGTTGGACTTTTAGTCGAAAGGTCGTGGATTTGAACCCCATTTGGGATGGCCTAATTTCTGAAAATATGATTTCTTTTTTTACTATGCTATTTTATTAGAATAATTAACCCTCTCGCTGCGTAGTTATTTTATTACGTATTTCAAATCTACATTTTAGAGTTAAAAGGTACAAAAAAAATTCGTTAAGGAATTTTTATTTCAAGGTATCGGACTACGTTTGGAACCGTGATTTTGCAAAAGCGTATAAATGGATAATATTTATGATATTTAGTGTCACTTGGATTAGAAAACGTATATAAAATTGTTTTAAGGATATTATTACAATAAAAAATTATTTAAGTACAATACTTTGACAAAAAATGAACATAGAATGACCAATTTTCAAAATATTCCGCTTTTGTGAAAAATGCTTCTATTATAATAATATTTGGCCTGTATATAGCTCAGACCTCTGTACAGAGGCTCGCCTAGAATTTTTGAAATGTATAGCTTATAAGTGGGATTATCCCTTTTTTACGACAGCAGAGGAGAGAAATTTTAAGAAAAAAAAAACGCCGATAATTATTTCAATTGGTGGTAACTCTGAAAATAATGTGAATTTTTCAAAAATCATAGTTGAGCCTTCGTACAGAGGTCTGAGCTATATACAGGCAAAATATTATTATAATAGAAGAATTTTTCACAAAAGGAGAATATTTTGAAAAAGGTTATTCTAAGTTAATTTTTTGCCGAAATATTGCATTTAAATAATTTTTTTGTTTTGTCAAAATGTCCTTAAAACAATTTTTTGTATGTATTCTAATCTAGGTGAAACTAAATATCATGAAAATTATCCATTTATGCACTTTTTTAAAATCATGGTTCCGAACGTAGTCGAATAACTTAAAATATATAGGTTTGGATCATAAATATCTGAACATAAACAGGAACGGCATGGGTTCAGTGGCGCACACTAAGTATATAGTACGCGTAAAATTTATTTAAGTATTTGTTATTATAATGGTTATTTTTACTGATTAATGCTAATTATTTATTCAATAATTAGTTTGTTACTGTGTTTTGTTCCCGAAAATCGACAAAATCAAAAGGAGCATAATACAAGAATGGTGAACTTTCGACCCCGGACCCCCTTGAAAAATTCCTGTGTGCGCCACTGCATGGGTTAATAGCCAAATAGTCGGAAGAAATGTATACCTGTGGAAATCGTGGAATGCGCAATGAGAGGGTTAAATTAATTATTGAATAAATAGTAACAAAAAAACAAAAAAAATAGTTCAATACCCTATATAGAAAGGAAAATTGCAAAGAATATCGCTTTCTATTTTATCACTTAATATTGTGATTCTGTCATATGTCTATATATATATTTATATTAATTGTAACTATTTAATAAAAAGTGACTAAAATAAATTTTTTCTTTGTTGACCTAAGGAGAAATTGACTTAATTTTCTTTTTATATTACTTGTTATTTTTTTTTTCTTGTCTTTACGTAAAGTACCTGTTACATGTTGATCTGCTTCACACATTATTTTGAGAGGCGAGAATGAAAACACCTTATAGTTTTAAAGGTGCAGTGAGTTGAAAAAGTTTGAAGATTACTGATAAAGGCTTCAGACTCGTTGTTCACACTCTAGTCTTCATTATCAAGCCCCTTTCATCAGTTATAATTAAGGTGTAACTGATGATAAAACATTTCAATATTGTCCAATGTTTATATTTGATTAATCAACTGAAGGGGCAGGCACCACCCCGGATAGTCTGGATCTTTCGGGAAAGCCCCAAAAGTGATATTCCCAAAGAAAAAGCCTGCCTCCCTTCACTCAACCCCCTTGGCACTCCAACAAGTGTCCGTGAGAAGCATTCGGTTCCGGGCCCGCAGAGGAAGTTGCAAAGGAAGTGGAAAGTCCCAGTCTGCTGGAGAATGTGGGAAAATACTATTAGGTCCCGTGTCTACTTTCTCCCAGCGGGGACCATTCTCACAGCATCCCTCGAAATGGCAGGGAGCGTACAATTGATCCGTTACAGCTTAATGATGATCAACCTCCTACTGGTGGGAGAAAGGCCCCCTTCTCTGGTAAATAAGAAAGAGAAGTTTACTTAAAACCGCAACTCTGAGGATTATCTATTGAAAGGGGGCGAGAAAATCCCTTTTTCTTTTGCCTTCGACTGGTGGCAGGGAAAAGTTTTTCAAATGGAGCCGTTATTGATAGAGTTTTATAATTACCTATTCAAAAAGTCATCTTTTGTTGTTGTTGGGATAGATTTATAGCCACTTATACACAGACAGCAGGTGTAAGCGTCAGGTATATAATTTATAAACCAGAACACAATAATATCCTTTGGTGTGTATTCGAAGTTCAAATAATTAACACTCTTACACACACACACACACATCGATTAAAACAATGTATTCTAATATATTTTACAGAATATATTTGTTTTAAGAAAATATGAGTGACATTGGCTCTTTATATCGATAAATATCGGTTACGTTGTCTCGCTATAATAGTTTTTACGGACAGCAAGAAACTAATTAGTTAATAACCTGGTGATCCCCATTTCAAAACCAATGTACTATTAAAACCCTACCAAATATAAGGAGTTAAGATGTTTGAAGCCTCTTCAGATTAAAATCAATTATTTACAAGAATATACAGCAAAAAATATCAAATGTATCCTTCTTTCTGTAGGAGTTTAAATTTACTCAATGTTATGGATAGTATTACATTGCCGAATAGACTCAATAAAGGATTACGACATTAAATGCTAAGTGATTTCACAATATTTATTTGGCGAACTTCAACATTTGAGGTGCCATCCTCGCCACTTAATCGGGGTTCAAAATTATGAGGTCTGGTATCCATATCTATCGCGTAGTGCTTCTTTGATTCAAATCAATCACATTTGAGTGAGTGAGTGAATATTAACGTCGAACTGTTCAGCTACACGAGGGCTTTTGGCGACGGACCACGTAATTTTGAACCATGGTCAAGTGACGTGGATGACATCTGAGCTGGCACCCCCTCTCCTAACTACCACACCAACAGGTGGACGTTTCAGCTCTCGACAGATTTAACGTACATCGCTGCCCTACACGGCGGGTCTTTAGTGGTACGGGGCTCGAACTCATGACATGCCTGCCATGATCCATACCTTAACCACTGGGCTACCGCAGCCCTCCAATCACATTTGAAGAGTGAGATAGTAGCAAAAGTTACATGACTATGATTCAAAATTATGATGCTCCTCTTAACAATGTATTTGTTAGTTTTCCACATTAATTCAGCAAATGATACTAAATATTTTTAAGACTAAAAATTTACTAGGATTTATTTGGATCACGTAATAATGTCTCTAAAAATTGGTGATGCAAATTTGTATTTTAATTAAAACTGAGAGAGCTCAAGCGATTAATCTTAAATTGTAATTGTCATCTCAAAATACCCTTAAAAATGAAGAGAAATAAAAATAGTACAATATAAATGAATGCCTGAAGTTGTTTATACTTTGAAGCATTTCAATATTTATATTTCTAAAAATACTATGAAGTCTTTTAATTGTGGGGCAAATTTCTTACAAATTGAAAAAAAAATCGTATCTCTTAATTCCTAATATTATTTTCTTACGAGTAGATATGGTCTGGAGAAAAAATTGTGTTATTTTGTATTAAAGTAATTTCATATAATCTTTAATGCTCAACAAAATGATAAAGTATAAAAACTAATAGTAATATTTATGAAGTAGCGTAATTGTGCTCATTAAAGATTTTATTTATATCTCTTGGATCATTTTCAAATAATCAGAAAATATAAATAAGAGTTTTTAAGAAAATATATATTTAATATCACAGTTTTCACAAATAAAAAAAAATGAAAGTCTCGAAAATTGTGAGATTAATGCAATTATCAGAATCATTGCAATGCATACATACATAGAGTTTTAATACACCGAAATTTAATAATATAACACCATTTTCAAAATAAAAATTAGGGATATTAATTCCCACGGAATCCTCTTTACCGAAAGCAACAGATTTGTAATTTAAGATGAAAAAGCAACGTGATTCTATCTCTCTCTATAAATAAGACAAAAGCATGGTGCTGAATCTTAATTGCATCAATTCATAGTTCATCATAGTCTAATAGATATTATATTTATTTAATTATTTATTTTTCAAAGCTCCATACTCCAAACTTATTTTGACTTATTAAAATGTTTAAAGTTTATAACACGATTTCTTTATAATTTATAAAAGCTAGGCTAACAAGAGGAGGAAAAAGAAAAATTTAGGATATAGTTCCTTAATGTGTGGATTAAAATCTATTATAAAACTGTGAGTAAATTAAATGAAATTATGAGTAAATTGCTCTGTCTACGTTCAAATGGAAAGATCCAAAGGAAAAATTTTCAGACAAAATCAAAAATATTTTAAATAGATATATCTTATAACTCTGCAAATTGCAGATATTTTTTTCCCACAAGGTAATTTCTACTAGCTTCAAAAAGTAAATCTTTGTAATTAATTTTCATTTCTTCAAAGATATTTAACTTGATGTTTTAACTCAAAGATAGTTCGGCCTGTATTTTTTAAATGCTAAATGAAATATTTTAATATGAATATTATATATATATATATATATATATATATATATATATATATATATATATATATAATTTAATATGCATGTATTAAAGTATATATTTTCTATCTTGCAAAATGTTTTTGGTAATTATTATATCATTCAACGTTGCTTTTTTGAATTTTATGTATTATTTTATAATATAGTAATTAATAACTTTTAAATTTTCATATTTTGAATTTTACCTAAGAAAAAAAAAGTCCCAATCTTAAAATTTCTACTTTTTTAAAAGCTGAGCCAAATATATTTTCATGACTTGGCATTGCTTTGAGATTTTTTTTATATATATACATTTCATTATTAGTAGAAATAATATGTTTGGCATCATTTTATCAGTCACATAACAATGAAGATATTAAATTAAAAAAATTGATACTATTTTTAAATGGAAGTAGTTTTTATCTTAA